CGGGCCGCCAGCCGAGGACTGCCAGGCCTACCACTGCAGCCCGGCCCCGCGCCTCCGCCTTGTCGTGCTCGACGCCTACGACCTGAGCATCCTGGGCAGGGAGCCAGACAGCCCCCGCTACCAGGAATCCCTGCGGCTGCTACGGGAGAAGAACCCGAACGACAACCTTAACAGCCCCGCAGGTACCCCCGACTCGGCCCTTTAGCAGCAAGCGCAGGGGGCTGAGCCTCTGCTTCCCGGAGCAATAAGGCAGCTCCCGGAGCTGACATCTGGTTGCCAGGGGGCTGAGGCATGTGCCCTGTTTCAGTCCACCTCCTCCGCCTCCCTGCTGTCGCTGAGACCCAGCCAGCAGGTCTCCAGGTGGGCACTGGAGATGCTTCCCCCATACCGGTCGTACTGCTGGGGGTGCTCCCGGGATGGGTTGGTGTGGTGCTCTGTGCCCTGCAGTAGTATCACAGCAAGAGGTGCAGCTGCTGTTGCAGAGCATAGAGTGATGCACCCTATCCCATGCCAGGGGGGCATCCAAGGGTGGAAATCCTGTGTGTGCAGCGTGACCAGAACCCCTGAAAACACTAACAAATTATTTTTTCTTATTTGTCCAAGGAGGCTGTGGTTTTGATCCAAGAGATTTTTAAAAAAATAAAAAAAGTTGTAAGAGTAAACCATCTTATCATAAGCAGAATTACATAAGGCAAGTAAATAGGGGAGCCAAAAGAGATGTATGCCTAACCTTCTTCTTCATTGCAGGACTCAAAGAACCTCATTTTGTAGAGTTTAACGGAGGATTTAGCCAAGCCCAGCTAGACTGGTTCGATGAAGTCCTCAAGTTCTCTGATGAAAAGCAAGAAAAAGTTGTCGTTATGGGTAGGTGGCTATGGAGGATATATGGGGATGCATGCAAAAAAAGTTATGTAGCCAGTTTATGGTAGCTGAGGAAAACACGCAGCAGCCTTGTAGCTCCGCTGAGGTACACATGTAACCTGTGAAGTAAGAGAACAGCAACCATGTCTCACGGCCGGATGAGTTTCCTGTATAAAGTTAAATGTCTGAACTTCTCAGCAACGAAGGCAGAGTCTGGTTACACTTGAAGTAATTCTCTTGCTTCTTTCCCCCTCAACTGCAGGTCATCTGCCCATTCATCCAGATGCTTCAGACAGAGTTTGCCTAGCCTGGAATTACAAAGATGCCCTTTCAGTCATACACTCCCATCAGTGCGTGGTCTGCTTTCTTGCAGGGCACCTGCACGATGGTGGCTATTGTTTAGACTCTCATGGAGTTCATCATCTGACTTTGGAGGGGGTTATTGAAACTCCACCAGAAAGCAGTGCCTTTGGAACTATTTATGTCTATGAAGATAAAATGGTACTAAAGGGAAGGGGCAGAATTTCAGACAGAGTTATGCATTTCTGAAAATGGTAAGCAAACACAAATTGCTCTTCAGGAAGAACTCTGACCAAAAAAAGCAGGGGATTTAGCTTATTATTTGCTTGCAGAAAGATGTGCATGGCTGATCCTTATAGCTTTAACTCCAAAAATTTTCTCTTGGATACAGAATTTTAGAAATTCTATTTCTGTAAGAAAACAGACCTGGTTTCTTCACGGAGAAGAGTGAAGGCCAGTAACCATCTTTGAAATAAATATAATTGAATGCAGAGTGTTGACGTGAAACACCCAATCCTGACTGGATTGTTACTTACTGTGAAAAAATGCAAACCATATTATGAATGTTGTCAAAAAATGCCACTTTTTTTTATATTCAGTCAGAATTAAAGCATGCAGAATTGTACCTGCCCAGCTGCATTTCAATTTTTTACATTTTTTTTAACATCATAGTCAGTAATGAGAATCAGTCCACCCTGTAGCCTAATGCAGTTTTCTTAACACTGATTTAAAAGACTAAAGTAATCTTGATAAAAAGTTAAGCCCAAGGAAAATGGAGACCATCCATGCTGCATCATGTGTCACTGCAGATACACCTGCTGGGATCTATGTGTGTGCACCTGTATTAGCCTGCAGCAGTGCTGAGCTGCTGACATGGAAGGATCTGAAGTTCACTGCTGTGCTGCATCTGGACCTGTTCTGGCTCTCTGCCAGCCACCTGATGTGTCGCTGGGCTGCTGCCTGTGTCTGCTCTCCAGGAACAGAAATTCAGTGAGAAGCAAAATTGTGACAGCAACCACAACGTTGTCCCCAAAATCTGGGTTCTTTTACCTCATGTGCAATGAGCCAAAAACCACAGAGTAGAGATACTTGTTTAATCCATATCTGCACAGAGATGGGTGCCAGGTGGTAATTCCACAAAGCCAGCACCCCTTGGTTAACACATTTATACATCCCGAGCGACAGTTACCAGTCCTTGTTACCGGTAAGCTTGGCCACCCTCATTCTCCTTGGTCCTTGCAAGGTCTCGTCTCCATTTAAACTCACAGCAGTCTCTTTTTAAACCACACATTCAGTGAGGAAGGGGCTTTCTTGGAAGGGGGCTTCTTCCTACTCGAGCAAAGGGGTTTTTTCTATGTTAATGAGGAAAGCTCATAGTTCAAGTAATTCTCTCCTTGGTTTTATCAGAAGCTTTTGTTCCTAGGCATTTATCTCCCTACTTCCTGGCTTTATGGCCTTATAGTGTTACCCCTTATGCCTATCTCTGTATTTCCTTGTCTTAATTACAGTGTTGCTTCTTCAGGGTCACTCTTGTCAGCTTTACCAGTGCCTTTATCAATTCCTGGCATTCTTTCACAACCCTCTTTTGGTCATTTTATCAATTATCAAAATAAGATGTAACAAGAACAGAAATACTGCTCATTTTTTCCGTTAGTCTCAATGGAATATCCAGGCAGATATCTGGAATTTTTCTGGCTGTAAATAGTCATTTATTGAAACAAAGTGTTTGCTTTACTTTTCCCTTATGTTACAGAACAGTAGATTTCCCAAACTATAAGGTGCTTGGAGAGCGATCCACGGGTGCCAGGATTTTTTGAATATACTTTTAGAACACAGATCAACAGTGCTTTAAAAATGTATGAAGAAGCCAGCTGAAGAACAGTTTCCATAGAAAGATTCTCCACTCAGATTTGACAGCGTTCCTCAATTATTTTAACAAATCTCAAACTGCACTGCTGGAAGCAGCCAGGCATTCTTGGGTCCTATCAAACTGATACTAGCCTTTCATTAAGAACCAAAAGCAATGGCAAGTGAGATCGGAATATTCTATATCACCGTTTTACAGTGCCTTGGCCAAGATGCTCGCATCTCTTTGTTCACATAAATGTACAGCCACAAAACAAAGGGGAAGAGAGCCATCAAGAGTGCAGCAATCAAGCGAACTCCACCCAGTGGACTCCTATAAAGAAGCAAATGCAAAGAGAGCTGCTTCAAATCAGACTGCTACAAAACATTCACACCTGGCTGCAGCTAGAAAGACAGCAGAGAGCCTTTGGCCACTTTAATGTAGATTCTGTGGATGCATCAGCAGAGTCCTTTACTGGAGAGGCACCACATGTCAGCAGAAGTTTTTCTGCCACCTCAGGCAGTGGGGGGGAAAAAAGAAAAAGAAGCACCGTGCTTGCCCAGAGCATCTCTGACATCTTTTTCCAGCACAAAGGTACTTTCTGGCAGATTGGGATTTTTCATTCTCCCAGCTAACAGGAATTTAGCAAAACTGCTGTAGCACAGTCCTCTGAAAAGGCTGGAGGGGAAAAAAATGCAGAGCTGCTGCAGCCAGGCAGCCACCCAGAGCCTTCCGCCAACCTCGGCTGCATCACCCCTGCTCCAGTGGATGCAGCGGACACCAGTACAGAGAACCTCACTGGAAAGTTCTGTAAATTGGAAGCAATGGGAGAAAAGGTTTTACAGTTCATTAGCAGCTGTGGCCAATGCTCACTAGCCTGTCTGCAGAAGGGGTGTGCTGTCCTTATGCAAAGGGAGAATGTCCCCTGCCCATTATGGCAGGGAGAGCAGAAGAAAACATGTTTAGTGTAGCTTCCCCCCCAGACCTTTAACTGTGCAAGAACATACAGGCCGTAGCACCAGCTACTACTGCTTAGGTATCTGAGAAGGCTCAGACAGTGACATGAAGCAGAAAAACAAGGAGCCAAAATCAACTGTTTTCAAGAAGCGAGTCACTAAATGTGAACAAACATATGAGCAGATTAAAAAAAACAAAGGAAACAAACTGCTGAACTGCAACAAAAAGTCATCCATATTGTAATAATCACCAGACCAAACAACTCTAAAAAGCCAAACAAAGATCAGAAAAAAATACAAGCAAATGTTTACTTTAAAAAAAAAGAAGAAAATTGCCTCCAAATCAGTACTGTCTGCTCCTTTGGAGAAGTTTGATATCTTTTACTAGGATTATAATTATAAAAGTTGTGCTTCCCACCACAAACTACAAACACACATGACCCAGCTATACAGCTGCAGAAATCCCTGCTTCCACTTTTTGTTCCGCTGCTAAACTTATATTCCACAGCACTTTCCTCTCCTTAACGCAGAGCAAAGCACCATCCCAGTATTCCAGACCATAAACAGATGCAGTAGCTGCTAGTGCTTCACCTTAATACTGTGCAAGCACCTACTTTGAGGCAACAACCGAATGTCCAGGGGAGAATTCGAGAATTCCCCCTCCCCCTCCCAAATCCGTGGCAGTTCAGAGGAATCCGCAGCCTGTGCCACATAAACATGCATATGGTATCACCTCAGGAGTTTTAAAACATTAATTCCTGTTCCTACATCTCCAGCAAGAGAACACAAAGCTGTTTCACTGTGCCTTGGTCTTTGAAAGCCAGAACTGAGCCCAATTAAATCTGACTGCCACAGTCTGGCAAGCAATCTTGACTGTTCACTCTCCCTTTAGCTCTTTTGTTCAACAAATGGATGGTTTGGAGCACTATGGTGCTTGGACTGATTCCCCTGGACTACAGCACTCATTGCAACAGCCCAGCACATAAAGTTTAGCAAGGTGACCACCAGAAGGAGGTGGCCTGGCATGCTGAATTTTTGCAGTGGAAAATAAAAACTGCCACTGCTTACCTGCCTTCCTCTTCATGCAAAATGTTTCCTTGAGCATAAGCAAAGAGCAAGCCAAGGCAATGGTCCCAACAATACAACCAGCAGAATGAAGGTCACAAAGGCTCCTCCAAACACCATTATTTGAGGAAAAAAAATAGATTGCCAGCAATGTATGCTGCATGCAACGTAGCACGAGGCAAACGCTATAAATCAAAAAGCAACTGACTTGCTAAAAAAGATGTCTCCAGCAAACACACACATCTTAGGCAGGAAGATGGAATTAATACCAGCATCTTTATGATGGGGGAAATCTGCTAAAAAGTGCTGTTGAAAATAAACACTAGCGGGCTTGGGGCTTGCTTTGCTAGGAATGCAACTTATCGGCAGCAGCACCTCAATGGAAATGGTTTCCTGTTCTCTCCAGCAAAAAACCAGGCTCCAGCACTCAATGTGCATAGCAAAAAAATCACAAGGTGGATTACAAACTAAAGTTCTCTTAAGCACAAAGAACGGCCTTTCCGGATCTCACAGCTATCACCAGACACTTAGCATGACCACGGACAGCCACCAGGGTCCATGGGAGCCAGCCCCTGTTCCCAGTCAGTCCGCAGGGACAGACACCGCACCCCAGGGAGCTTCTTCTCTCACACTCCCTGACAAGCCTCTGCCTGAGGTTTTGCCTGTGATGATGAGCGATACTGATGACATCTCTGCCTGGGGACTAATGTTTTTAAATGGAGAAGTACAGATGATGTGATAGATCTGAATGGGCCCACATATTCTTGTGGTTTTCCATGTCCATTCCCAGGGGCTCACTGAGGAGAGGTGAGCAAACAGCAGAGGCAGTTCTCGCTGATCTCAGAAAACTCTAAAGTTAAAAGCAGTCTTTTCTGGGCGCTCACCCCTCCAGGCAAGCATTAAAGATGATGAGCTGCCAAAATTCAAGAGCTCAGTGTGACCCAAGCTATGATCGATTCCCAGTTTGGCTGAACTTAGAATCTGGGTTTTCCAGACCTGAACAGCAAATAGACCTTGGTGAATCTACATAAATGTCCAGTTATACAATAGTTGTGCTATTTTAATATTTATTTTCCAGAGATCTTGGCACAAGTACAAAAACCTACTTGAAAATTTAACAGGCAGATTCTCTTGACCAGCCAAACACCATTATGTTGAAGCTACACCTGTCATGCAGCGGGCGGAAGAAGCAAGCAGCCGATTCAATGTGAATGATAGAACAAGCTTCAACTTTATTGAAAGAAATCACACCTTATATAAGCATTCTACAATACACTACTTGTAACTATTGGATACATTAAAAAACCTACATTATAATATCTCAGCCATTGGGTACATCTAAAAGGTCACATTATATTATCCCAGCCCCTTGTGGCATCTCTGGTATGCATAAACATCCTTCTTGCTGTGAACCTGCTTCTCTCCCAGGGCTGCCTTCCTCTCACCCCCAAGGTCATAATGTGCCCCAACTTTTCTCCTTGTTCTCACAACAGTCCTTGCTATCATCAATGTACGCTGGGTTTTTTCCTCTGTTTACCTCAGGTGGCTGTGACCGACTTCTGCAGGGAGCCATGGCCTTGCTCTCTGCAAGCCGTTCTCCAACAGCAGGGAATAGCAGCGGGTGCAGGAAGAAGAAAGAGGAATCAATAGGAGCAGGGAGCTGAACAGAGAGGGATGGAGAAAGGCAACAAGAGCGGCAGGGTACAGGGCAGAGGAAGGGAAAACCTACAAGATGGGGACAGGGAGATGCTTCAAGCAAAACAGAAGATACAGGTGAGCAAAAAAAGTTGAGCAGCACCAGAAAGAGAGGAGTCTAGGAGAAAGACAGGGAGGGACCAGGACACACAAGAGGGATGATAGGGGCCCAAGTGCTCGAGACTTACTGCAGTTCTCCGCGCTGCCAGGAGAATTTGACAGGTCAGACTTCCTTCTGTTTGCCTTCTCCCTTCCTCTTCTACAGCTCCAGGTGCCTGGCTGACCTCCACTTATGAGAATAGGTAGGCGTCTCACAGCTCTTACGAGATGAGGCCTGCTAGACACAGAACCTCATTCAATGACACACTACGTGCAGGAGTAGGACAGAGGAAAGAGAGAGATACTAATAAGTGAGGAGCAGAACGGAAGGGTCGAGAGAGAAATGGACTGAGGAGTGAGAGTGATGCGAAAGGTACAGAACAAGCAGTCAGAAGTGCAGACAGAAAAAGAAAACGAAGCAGCAAGACAAGAGAGAGGAAGGGGGAGCAAGGCAGAAGAATAGAATGAAAAGGTAGAGAAGGAAAAAAAATAAATCACAGCATGGGAAAGAGAGGGGCAGGAAGGAACTGGGACACAAAAGGAGGGTGACAGGGCCCCGAGGGCCCGGGACTCACCACAGCTCTCGCTCTCGGCACTGCCGGGAGAATGGGACAGGCCAAATGCTTCTTTCTCCTTCCTTCCTCCTGCCCCTCCTCTTCTTCTGAAACTCCACTCGCCTGGCTGACCTCCCCCTAAAAGAACACGCGGGTGTCTCTAGGCTCTTACAAGACATGGCTTCCGACCCACGCAGCCTCGCTCGCTCGCTGCGCGGCCGTTCCGCACCTGGGGTGACGCGCACAGACCCCGGGCGCACACTGGCGGTCCGGCCCGCTGCGGACCGTGCAGAGGGCCCCTCGCTCACCCGGAGAGGCAGGCGCTCTCCTCCTGCAGGGCCAGGCGGCTGCTGCCCACGTGCCCTCGATGTTCTCCGTCCTTCCCTTTCTCCGGCCCCTCCAGCTCCAGCCGCGGCGGCTCCCTCCCGCTGCCCACGGCCGGGAAGGCTCCGCCCGTCCCTTTTGGCCCCCGAGCCGTGAGAAGCGCCAGCCCGAGCTGGGCGCAGTCGGCGGCATGCCCAGGGCAGGAACGGACCCGCGCGGCCTCGGGAGGGGGACAGAGGCGACACGGACCGTTCTTGCCGCGGGTCTGCCCGGCCGGAGCCGCGCCACTCACCTCCACCGCGCATGCGCACTCCCGGGGGACGCCGCGGCCGCGCATGCGCACTCTCGGGCCGGGGGCACACCGCGTCTCGGGGAGCCGCGGGCAGCCCGCGGGAAACCGCCACGAACCCGCCCCTCGGGCTGCGCCGCGGGGCCGCGCCGGTACCGAGGGCTGTGCCGTGCCGCGAGCGCCGCAGCTGCGGGGACCGAGAGCGCAGAAACTACAGCTCCCGGCGTGCCCCGCGGAGCCAACATGGCCGACCGGAAGCGCCCCCTGCACGTGACTACGGC